CATGTGGGTTATGGTTGACAAAAGTTGACAACAAATTTAAAAATACAAAAGTGATTATAGAGACTATTATAAATAGTTATAGAGACAAAAGATTTAACATAATTAGCATTCTGAAAGAAAAAATTTTTTAGACACATAATAGGAAAAAACTTGCCTGAAGTAAAGATTGAAATCTGAGATAAAAAGACATAGAGTCTCCAAAATCTCTTGCTTTAATTAAATTTCAACAATTTCTTCTCTTTTACCCTAGTTTTTTTATCTTAAATTGAGTTAAAGGCAAATTTAATTTTTTTATTATTTAACAAGATTCATATATGATATATTTGGCTTCTAAATTTATTTTTGTCTTTTAATCAATCAGTCAGTCTACTCTTCTATACAAACATATCTATACAAAAGTATCTGGCATAATATTCATGAAATATTAACAAATTCTCAGTGGTGGGATTTTGAGATTGTTTTTAAATTTCTGCAATATGTATCTTTAATAATTGTGTATCATTTTTACAAATAACAATGAAGTCACTGGGATTAAAAAAAATGTAAGGCAAAGATTAACTGATAGAAAACAAAAATGTGACATCTCAATTCTTCTACTACCTCTAGATTCGTGTCCCCCCATTCCAGGGCTCATACAGCAATCAGGTGATTTCTCTAAAACAGAAACATAGAATGTTCGTTTTCATCTTATTATCCTGCAAGATTTTCAATGAATTGCCGCTAATCCAGGATCAAATCCAATTTCTTTAGTAATTTACACAAAACTCTCTTATCCAGCCCCAGCAGGTCTTTCCAACATCAATAACTCTCACCTCCCTGCATTCCCCCTTCCCTCCCACTACCATGAACTATCTTGTAGTAAGAGTTCTCCTCGAAGTTCCAAATCTATATCTCTTTTCATGTCGCAGTTGATGGTAAAATGTGCTTTTGTTGTTTGTTTGTGGGAGTAGGCAAAGGGGCGAGAATTGCAAATTATTCTACAAAATTCAGTTCAATATCATCTCTGTGAAGCCTATACTACCATCACTCTTTTTTCCTTCCCATCAACAAAGTTATAAAATTATGTGCATCCTTTTTCCACCCTCTATATCAGTGCCATATAGAGCAACAATAGAGCCTGATGCAAAAGGAAAAATTATTAATATCCATCCCATCTTTATTTAAAATTTGGGTATTTTGTTCATTATGGACTTTTGCATGAATTTTGATTTTTTAAAATATTCTTTAAAAATATTACTTATCTTGATTATTGAGGTTTTTGGCACCCCTTTATATTGTTGTGGCCAAGGTGAGTGCTCACTCATATAACCCTAGTCTGGGCCCTGCTCTTTACTACTGAAGCACTTATGACACTCCATAGTTACTTGTCTACACATCTATCATCACTACCAGACTGTGACCACCTGTAAAGAAAATAACCAGTTTCGTTTATCTACACATGACTAAAAATCAGCACAGTATCCAACATTGAGCAGGAACCCATTTAGTAAAGATGAATAAAACCAGAAAAGAGAAATAACCAAAATTCTTTAGTCTTTAAAGAATAAAATCTCCCATGGGGAAGAAAATATCTAATCTAAATGCAGAGCTATTGTTTTCTTTTTTTAAGATAAAGAAACCTTAGTTTGAGGCAAGTCATGAACTTAAAGTAATTAAGCAGTGGAACTAAAATCAAGTGCTTTTCCCCATAAACATTTATTTGTGGTACGAAGTATTGAGTGTATCTATTCCAAGATTATGCTTGTATTTAGTCTACTATGAGAATCAGAGAATATTAAAATTGAAAGAAATCTTAGATATTATTTAATCTCCCCTTCCTCTTATAAATAAGTGATAAGCCTAGAGAGGTTAGGGGACTCATCTAAAACCACAATAGGGTCAGAACTCAAAATCAGTTCACCAGTTTCTCCATTTGGTGCTTTTCCACTGGAGGTTATTCACACATCTAGAAGAGGGGACCATTGGAAAACAAGAGAGTGGACAGTGGGGATTTTTTTCTAGGCCAGGCAGAATTGACCAGTTCATGGGTAAAATAAACCACAAACAAATTTTTTTATGTATTGCTTGAAACATGGTCACTGCTAAGGTGAGGTGAGTGAAAAATGACCTTTCAAAGTTCATTCCAGCCCTGTGCTTTTATCTTTGTCACTAACTTCTCTATGATTCATTTCCATTTGTAAAAGAGAGTGATTCTACTCTCTGCCTACTCTAATTCAAGATATGTGAGGTCCAATTAAAAATATATATTATTCAAATACTCTGTATATGCACAAATGCAAGTCATTTTTAACTGTCGATTAATCATGTAAATATATTATTATACCTAGTCATGCCTGGATGAAATTAGAAATAATTAAGCAGCAGTAAGTGGCCAACGTGGAGTTGAAAGCTAGAGTATAGATACTTGTACTGAATAAAACAATTCTGAATTTCATCTTTAAAGATAGAGACATATAAAGGTACCATTCTCAGCCAGAATTCTTCCTCTTCACAAATTGCCAGGACCTTGGTCTCTCCTGACTCTGGTGAGATTTTTTAATGCTGAAAAGTAACTGGTTCCTTATAAAAGTGTTTTGTTTAATGTAGCTCTGAGTTAGTGGAATGATAGAAATGATGACCAAAATAAAAAATTTAGCCTTGAATTAATTTAATGGAATTCAGTTAGGGAAAACAAACTATGCATTATTAACATTGTGTGCAAATGAAATAATTCCTTTTTTTACTAATGATTATACTTTCCTGTCAATTTAGTCTTCAACTTAACAATTAAGAATCCTTGGTTTATTTTATCCTTTCTCTTTGTTTGGCCACCTGATTTATTTTAAAAACTTCTTCATATACAAAGGTAAGAAAAAAACTGTAAGTTTACCTGGATGTTGGTCTACAAATTTAAAATCATTTATTTTATCACTTTAAAATCTGTAAAATTTATAGGAGAATTTCTTTTAAAAAAAGGAAGCCAATGCAATATTCTTAAGAATAGGCCAATAGATAAGCAAGGAGTATGTTCCTTACCAAATAAATAAGGTCATTTCATTGGAATAATGAACAGTTATAGCTTCCAACCACAATTTCAAGCATTGTCCTCAAGGCTAGAAATCTACTCACATTCATGAAATAATTTATGATAAGCTTTCTTGTACAAGTACTCTTTATTAAATACATAGATACATACAAATTTTACTGGGCCCTATATTACTGGCATCAATTTGTAAATGAGTGATTTGGATTGGATGATTTCTAAAGCCTCTTTCAGCCTTAAAATTGTTAATGATTCTAGGAAATACCTAAAGAGATAGCCAAGAAGGAATTCTCAGATGACTCACAATTGGCATTTGCACATTTTACAATTCTCGTAAACAACCATTTCAAGGCAATGCAATAACTGAAAAATTAATGCCACTTAATTAATATCATTTCTTTTCTAAGAAATAAGAGATCCTGTTTGCAAGGTGGTCATTTCTAACAAATTGTTTCCCAAAACATCCAGAACACATTAATTCACACAACCCAAATCAGGAAGAGAGAAGTACAGAAGAAAAATCTGGAAGCAACACAACAAAAAACTGGACCTAGATATAGCGGCATAAGACAGCTGCAAGAAATTCAATTAAATTGTTAAGCCTGCCTAATGAAAAAGAAAAGTCAGGATGTGAAAATCCTGAGAAATTGCATAACAGAGTCAGCTGCTTCCTACCCCTTGGCTATGATTTTTTTTTTTTTTTTACTCCATTCCTTTGCTGCTCTTTTAATTTTAAAAAATTCATCTTAGTTATGAAACTGTACAAAAACTCCCCCCCAAATAAACACAAAACTACCCAGAAATACAGAACTATGGACACGAAAAATCCCCAGAAGGTTAGCATTTCACCAGCTAATATAGATCTCTGTTGGAAAAAGCATCTAAAAGGCCTTGTATTGAGTTCCTAATTCTGATGATTCTGTGATTCTGATCAAATTCTATTCTGTGATTCCATCAAATTTGAGACAGGTAATCTATAAGGTCTGACAGTGCCCAGATTTCTCCTTTTAGGTATGAAGTACTTTTCATGTAGAGAAAAATCTGTAACACATTTACATTACATTTTGAAGTCAATTGCTGCAGTTGTGCTAAAGTATACTTGTCTCAAATGTGGCTATGTGAACAATATATTTGTTATCCTCTATCAATATAGTAGAAACAAATATTTTGAATATGTTGTCAGACTCTAAATAAATTTCCTCCGTTAAAGAATGCAATGTCCTCTTCTAGTTTATGGTTTGTTAGCATGCGTTGGCTGTTATACAATTTAAGTAATATTGTAGGTAAAGGTGAAAGAGCTTTCCGAGAGAGACAGTGTCTAGCATAGTGCCTGGAACACAGTAGGCTCTGAATAACTATATGTTGAAAGAATACATAACTGAATGAACTACTATCAAAAAGAATTCACACAATGAGTTATACTTTGGCTCAAAGCACAAATTTTCAAGTCAACTGTTAAGTCCTGTTTGGCCAACATATGACAGGCAACACATTTTCCCTGGTCTCTGTCTTTGTTTTTGAAGCAGCAGAGGTTTCACTCTATTGGTCAGTATTTGTTTTGTTCCATTTTCCTTTGAAAAATGTTTCATGTAACAGGGAAAGTCCTTTTCTTGCAGAGACTAAGAGAATCTCCAAAAGTCACCACATATCATATCCGATAAACAACTCTGATTAAGGGCAGTGCCACTGGGAAATTTAGGGTGGCTGATTGATATTCATAGTGTATATGAAAAAATGTCATAGTCTGTTTTCAAATTTCAATGCATAAATATGCACCGAGTGTCTCTAACAGCCCTATTTCTCTTGTCCCAACATTTCAGGATGGTCTGTGTTCTGTCTAATTTGAATGCTGAATTGATTCTATTTAAATCATCTTTCTGAAATGAAAGATGGCTCACTTTGTCTTCACCGAGGAATTAATTAACTCTCCCAACAACTGGCTGGAATGTTTTAAATGGAAAAATTACACAGAATTTTTATTTTAGTAAAGAATAATTGTTTATCTTTAAAAACATTTAAAAAGACATTCTGCATTAAGTTCATCATCTTTTAGGAAACTACTATAGCAACAAAATTACATTAGGCTTTCTGATTTTTCCATAGTGTCCTTCGATAAATAAACAACCCAATAGACCATGTTAAACGCCCCGAAAGTTACTGGAAAGAGAATGCGGGCATATTTGTCTATTTTACTTGTGCCAGATCCAGAAGGTGGTGGAGCTGAGGGAGGAGTAGTGGCTGACAACTTCCCAGAAGCCCCTCTGGTATTAACTGTGGTCTTAATTCGCTCCAGTCTTGATCCAAATACGCGGTGGGTAGAAGCAGATGCAACTGAAGCTGGTCGAGGCACATACCCAGTTCCACTAGGAGTAGAAGAAGAAGCAGATGGAGGGGCTCTCGCAGCAGATATAGTTTCAGCTGCATTTGCATGGCTGAACGGGTTTGGACTGCAAGCTAAGTAAGACTGTGGCATGGCTTCAGAGGATCGTTGAACAACTGTGGAAGATTTGCTCGAATGGTTTCCCACCTCGGTTCTGCTACCAACATCGGATTCAGAGTGAACCAGGGCATTTGTTCTTTTTCTCATGTTCAGATTGGCATTTATGTTCTGGAAAGGTATATTAAAAAATTATATTTGTTATGTAATTTTATGTTGATTTATACAAAATTTAAAGGGATCAAATAATTAAAATTAGTTGTTTCCATAAAATAAACCTTTATTAATATGCTATAGCCACTCAGCTTGATGTAAAAACTTAAAAATAACTAACTAGAAAAAAAAAACCATGTATATATTTGAAACTCTGAATCAATAGCATTCTATTTTAAAATAATATCCATTCTTATAAATAATTAAAATTTAAATCTATAGAAAGAAAATTAGGCTTTTAGGACTATAGACTAGAGTTATACTTGATTTTATTTTAGGAGATGAATGATGATAGCTATACAACTTCCTTGTTAAGTTTTATTATAGATAATATTCTGTGATATGTTGCATACATTTCAATGAGTTTTGTATATGTTTGTTTTATAAACAGGAAGAACTATACCTACTCTCGTGCACAGAATAAGAGCAATAATAATCATCCATAAGTGCATGACATTCCTTAAAAAAAAGAAAAAAAGAAACTCCAAAAGTTTTAATTTCCAAATCCCTAGTACTTATTTTCATAATCTTACATAGGCAATCATACACATTATTATAAAATCTAGAAATCCTAATGCAGTTTAGTTTTTCACCACAATTAACAATGAAAATACAAAGTAAAATTAATTTTAAATAAAATGTTGTATTAGACATATAAACAGCATCACCATTTTGTTGCATTAATATCTGAGTTCAAACTATTTCCTAATAAAGAGTGTTTAAATCAAAATGGAATTCACTATTTTCCATCAAATTATTTTATGCGTAGAACAAGACTATATTTAAATACAGATGCATGGTAAACATTAAAATTAATTCTCCTTAAATTTTGACAGGCATGATAAATAACTGTATAGCCAACTATAGCTTGCCCATACTAATGAAGGAAAGCAATTGCTCAAATGACTCCCAAAATAGTAATGTCTGTCTTTAGAATTACTATGATTTTTTGCAACAATTTTTCCCCCTTAATTATGTTTATTTTAAGTTATATTAAGGGTATATTGTAATTACTTTCTATACCTTCTCCCCCTGCCATTTCATAAAATAAATGGTGAGTGAGGAGATGGAGAAATACAGGAGAACAAGAGGAAGAAGAACAGCTCACAAGTGGGTGATTAGAAGGAGCCAGTCTATAAGGAATTTCACAGATAATATTATATACAATTAATGAGCAGTCACTTTACAGAAAATGGTTATTCTACTAATATAACCTGTTTTCAATACCACCCTACTCATCAAACAGGTTGAAAGTGTTCAATTTATATCTCATGTACAGCCATGCGTTGCTTAATGATGGGAATACATTCTAAGAAATGCATCATTAGGCAATTTTGTGGTCATATGAACTTCCTGGTGTGTACATACACAAACCTAGATGGTACAGCCTACTACACACCTAGGCTATATGGTACTAATCTTAAGGGACCACCATTGTATATGCAATCTGTCATTGACCAAAACATTGTTATGCGGCGCATGACTGTACTTGTGAATTATGACTTCAAGTTCGCTGAGTAGAGAAAGGAAAAAAGCCTCACAAAATGCAGAGCCAAAGCAGGATCTGAGAGGTTTAGAAAGTATTCTTCATGTCAGCCTGGAGTATTCTTCTAAGCAGGTTGCAGATGAACTCATGAGAAACTGTAGTCTAACATATGGCACCTAATTTTGGTGGAGACAATTGAAACCAAAATTGACATCAACCTAAAAGCTAACGGTACCATTATTTATCCTGCACTTTTCTTCTACAAAGCACATTGTAAACATCACTTAATTAATTCTTGTATATTGAGTCCCTTTTTACAGAAAGGGATAACGGTTAATTGATTAGCATTAATTCTAAAATGTTATACACATGGTGAAGTATATAAAGAAGGATAAAGTATATAAACAACATTTAAAAAGCATAAACTATCATTGGCAAGATAATATGTGCATCCACATGTGATACAATAAAAATGTAACAAAAAGTAAAAAATAAGGAAGGGTCAAATTGTGGCAAAATGCTATATATACTAAGAAGAGAAGAGAAGAGAAGAGAGAAATAAAGGACCAATTGGACAAGGAGGAGAGAAATATATATTTTCAAATGTAATCTGATATTTGCATACTGCCTTCCTCCACCAAAAGTTAGGTTACCCAGAATCTTTAGAAATCCATATTTTTCATAAGATTAAATTCTAAGGATTGGAGACTTCCACTTTTAGCCAAAATGGAGTAACAGGAACTGAACTTACTCTCCTGCATGAAAATGAACCAAAACACTGGACAAAATATGTGAAACAACTGTTTTTTTGAAGACACTGGGCATTAGACAACATAGACCATAATCACTGAGAGAGAAGAAACAAACTTGAGAGAGTTTCCATGCTGTGGTGCAGGAAAGGAGAATCCAGGAGATGTGGTACAGGAAAGGAGAATCCTAAATTGAAGAGATGGAGCTGAGAATCTGGGGAAATCAAGGTGGCTAGAGTTCATAATAAAAAGTAACAAGTAAGCATATGCTGAAAAAGAGAGAATCCCAAAAATCTGAAGAGTCCCCATTGAGTATTTTGCTAAGCACATCAATTTATGAGTGTGATGTAACTACCCAAGGCCACAAAAAGAAGCACATGAAAGGATAGAAGAAACAGTACCCGGCACACACAGGAATAGTGCATGTTCTTACCAGCTAGACCGGAAAATCTCAACATTCACGTAGCATTTGGTAAAGTACTCAGAACGGCCTTGCCTCAGTAATATGGAATAACTAGCCCCAAACATTGCTCTAGTACTGCCTGATAAATTTTAAAAGTAATACCTGAAAGGATGAAACTAACTCGAAGTAACTTAACTGCACCTCAGAAGAAAGCCCAAGAACATTTATAGGACCCTGTCTTCTTTCCCTCTAGATCAGTATCCTTCTGGAACTTCCTGAAATCCCGACAGTGAATCACGTTCTATATGGTTGATTGAATAGAAAAATGGCACCAATTCACCCCCATGCCCTTTGTAATGTAAGTTTCCCATTCCTCTCTCATCAAGAGATGGAGTCTGTTTCCCCACAGGCTTCCTTATGACTTTCTTTGGCCAACAGTATGTGACGGAAGTGGTGGTGTGTCATTTCCAAGCCTTAGCCTTAAGAGTCCTTGCTTGCTTCCACTCTTTCTCAAAACACTGCCACCAACACTACAAGAACAAGCTTGGGCTAGCCTGCTGGAGAGATCTTTTGGAACAGAGCCAGTCATCCCAATGAGGCTATCCTAGATCACCCAATGGCTAGGTGACCACTAGACACATGTGTTTGTCCCAACTAAGAGATGAAGAACTGCCCAGCCAAGCCTGATCAAGACCAACAGAACTTCCCAGTTGACTCATAGACTTGAGAGCAAAAATAAACGTTTATTGTATGCCACTGAGGTTTTTTAGTTGCTTGTTATACAGCATTACTGTGCACTAGATAACGTATATAGACCAATTAAGTCAAGGGTCCTAACAGGAGGTATTGCCAAACTTCTTGTGAGGGGAAGTTCCTCAGACATCTTGGGATAATTAGAAGGCTGGCCTGCCCAGAATTCATTGAAGACCATTAGGGGGCCCTGTTGCCTAACTCCACACACTAACTGAAGGACCAAGATATTTTGCCCTTTATAATCCCATTCTTAAAGAATAACAATATTTTAAAACTGGGAGAGATTTCAGCGATCAACTTATTCCAGTACTTCATTTTATTGTAGAGGAAAATAAGAGCAGAAAGTTTACAACTGTCTGGAAGTCATACAGAGAGTTACTTAACTGAGTGTTCTGCCATGTCAGACACCCTCTTGATGCACAAATGTGGAGGAGGCATTAAAGAACTTAATAAACTACACTTACCTATTTCAGTCTGTCAAGTTTGTAATAGTCAAGTATATTGTTAAAAAAATTATTCAAGACTTGGACATCAGAAAGGAGCACAGCATGTCCTTTCAATGTCATAATGAAGCGTTGTTTAACAAGTCCACCCAAGGATTAAGTCTCTAGGCGAATTTACTCATTTGATTTTGCTATTTATTATTGGATTTGAGCCCAAACACTGTGAAGTTACATGTTAACTTGTAGATTCCTGTCCAGCAGAAAAGATAACCAAAGGTTATAGCTTTGTTGCCCTATAGGATATTACCCACTTCTGTATCTTACCTAGAAATCTTATTCTGGTATTCCTTTTCTCAAAAATTGCTACTTATGGTCATTTCTTAAAAAGATTTTGAGCCAGTTTTACCATGTATGCAGTTCTCTCATTAATTAATGAGTTGAACAAAACCTTGACATACATCCATTCCATATTTGAATAAGTCATGTTTTTGATGGTTTGAAAATTATATTTTGATGACATCTACTATTAGACAAGTTAGCAGTATCAAAGAAATGTAAGCATAGACTTGAAGAATATGCCTGGAAAAAGAAATGATTCCAAGCCAAAGAGATAGGGTCAGTGTAAAGTGATTGGAAAAAAGAATCAATGAAGCAGGAGATTTTATGAAAACGGAGGGAGCAGTCTGTAGTGCGCCCATAGGAGTACCATCTGAAAACAAAGATCAGATCTTTTTTATTCCGAATTTAAAAGACTTAGTGATCTTCCAGAGTATAAAGACTATCTTATTCATCATTGCAGGCTAATGCACACAGCAGGCACCTACTTCATTTTTTAATAAATTTCATTGAAATGGATATAGTATGGAATCAATTTTTCTTTTTCAAATTAAAGAGAAAGTGTCAAAAGCTTTTATCTGAGCTCCAGATTACTATTTCTTTGTTTATGGGGCAGATTTCCAGAATATTGCAGATAGCGCCCAAGGTGTATAAATTATCTTGACTCAATCCCAAGTCTGATTAAGAATGCCTAAGAAGTCTCAATACTCTTTATATAGCACATACATAAAGGAAAGCAGCATTAGACTGATTTGAGGGTTAAATGTTTGCTCTCTGCCAAGCAGCCA